TTTCTGTGCAGTTTTCATATATTTATCTGGTGCCGTTTCTAAGTATTTTTATAAGGACCGTGACTGACGTTTTTAAAATGTATTTCTAACTGAATGAGTCCTTGTCTATAAGCTTTCGTATTTTGTAATCCATGCGTGTATATCATTAAATATCCATTTTACACCCCATTCACTTAAAAAAATTGTATCCTCTGGAGCTTTCCCAACACACAGATCTAGAAGAAGAACCCATTGATGATGGAGATATAGAAGAAGGATCAGACATTTTCTTTTCAACAAATGACAGAATTTTGATTTGTCCTGCTTGTAACAGACCCGAGGATTTGAGACCAATGATCACGTGATGAATGTGACGATTGATTTCACTTCGATTGTGTGGGAGTAGAGGTAGTGCCACCTAAAGATAAGCAGTGGTTCCGTTCTTGCAGGCCTCCACGAAGACCTGGTAGAGCCAGTTTTTTAGGGGTTTGAAAACCTTCCCAAAGCGGTCCGAAGAAAGACCTTAAACTGCACCAAAAGTTAATCGAAAAATTGAGTTCTTTCTTCATTTCCCCTAACAGTATCCCTAAATAGGGAACTTTTTTTTTATTTTGTTGTTGGAGTGGAGTGTGTAGAAAATTTGTGCACTTAGCGAAATTCTTACGTAAGAGGAGAGATGAGGAAATTCAACTGTAATCTTGTGACGAAAATGTAATGAAAGATTATTGCGTGCTCACAGAAAATTTATAGAAATGAGTTCCAGTTGACCCCCATTTGATTGAAGGGGAGTCAAAATTTGCATATGTGTTGGAAAAGAGAGATATAAAAAAATGATAAAATAGTTAGCCATATGTGCTATTTTTTTCTTCCTTCATTACGACAGTGCTTTCACTTTCGAAGCTGACTGGACGTGTTACCGATACTGTCAATAAGAGTTCTAACTCTTTATTTTCTATTGTTACTTCTCCAAGGAAAATTACTTGTAGGCAACCTATAGTTTTTTTTGTCGTTGTTGCGCTTTGACACAAACGATTGCCACCGTGAGATTACGCCAGTTACAAGTCGTTTGGTTTGTTTTACGGCATCTCAACCTCAATGGGTTAAATAACCCATGTCGACGATTTTTATTTATTTATTTTTTAAAAAAGAAAGAGTATGAAAAGACTTCAAAAGAAAATAGGCATAAAACTAAACAGGGATTTAAATCCCAAATAAAACAACAAAAAAAGAATAATTCGTGGAAAAATATGTATGTGTATATATGTGTAATATATATATAATTATAATTATATATTATAATATAATATATTTTTTTATTTACATATATATATATATATATATATATATATATATATATATGTAGTAGAATTTTTGTGCGTTTACCTTAGCGAAACTCTTGTGGAAAGAGAGAAATAAGGAAATTCAACTGTAATCTTGTGACGAAGATATAATGAAAGATTATTTCGTCTTCACAGAAATGAGTTTTGGTCGACCCATTCTGGTTGGAGGGGGAGTGAAAATTACCATCTGTGTTTGAAGAGGGATATAAAAAAATGATAAAATTGTTAACCAAATGCCGTATGTTTTTTTTTTCTTTCCTTCCTTACGACTTTGTTCTCTTCCGATGCTGACTAGACTTGTTAACCGAAACTGTTGTATCTTCTATCGTTACTTCTACAAGAATTACTAGCAGGCGACATAGTGTTTTTTTTTTTGTTGCAATTTAATACAAACGATTACCATTGCGAGATTACGCCAGTTACAAGTAAGAATTCGCTATCATTTCTTTCTTTCTGCGCTGAGTTTCGCTTTAAACATTAATAGTTGCCATTGACACTGAGATCTGTAGGCGTATTAGAATGGCTAAGGACACATTCCAAAAGCTGGGCAAAATACTGCGAGACAGGAGGATATCTTTCGTATCAAAGTAAAGAATACTGAGCTGTTACAAGACATCTGTCCTTCTTTACACCAGCGAATGTTGGGCGATTTCCTCAAAGATGAAGAAGAAACTCGAGATGTGGTTCTACAGAACGATGCTAAGGGTACCATGGACCGAGCGTGTGAGCAACGATGAGATCTTAAAGTGGTTGCAAACAAGGAGGAGGCTTATACTTAATATCAAGAAGAGACAGCTGGAGTTTCTGTGACACATAATGAGGAATGAGGACCTGGAGGATCTGATACGCATGTGTCGATTAGAGGAAATAAGAGACAAGGGAAAACAACGCATGACATATCTAGCGGACTTAAGTAGATGGCCGAACGTGGTGTGGGAGAGGAAACAGAGGGAAGGAACTTGTTTAGAGCTGCAAAAAATAGAGAGAGATGGAGAGTCATCCTCGCCTACATCCTGAAAGGACGTCACATAAAAAGAAAGAAAGAAAAAAAAAGCTTCCCTTTCCCCAAACAGTCGGACTTAAAATCACATTTATCGCCATACACAGGACTTTTGTTGTGTTCTTTTCTTTACTCGAAATGCATGAGTAATCTCTATCTATAAAAAGCAGGATGCGCGCGCGTGTGTGTTTGTGTGTAACGAATGCACGGCCGCAATTTTCGACGGATTTGCACCAACATTTACTTTCACATGGTCCAAGTTAGCGGAAAGGCGAAGACCGACTTTTTCATTTCCCAACTCCCATCGATAGTGGAAATAATCGATTTTTTCATGCTTCTACAGCAGTTTTCATGTAGTTTGCGGCCATTTTCTACTGACCAGAGTGAGAGCCTATAGCTGGCTGCCACGAATAGGCAGAAAGATTATATTGGTTAGCGTGAGAGCCAACAGCTGACTGACACAAATGTTAACTAGTATGCTAGCATGCAAAAAATCGATAGCTGCATTCGTCACAAGTGGGAAAAATTTAAATCTACATGGCACTTTACTCCAATTGGGTCATTCGCTTGCTTAAACTCAACGTTGATTCTGATTCCGCAGAACTGGGTTGGGTTTGAAAAAGTATTTGTTGTTAACATTCTTTTTTCATTCGGTTTTTCCAGTTACGAGTCCTTTTTTAAAGCTGATCGTTTTGTGTTCATTTTGTTTAGTTCTTTTTTCGTAACTGATTTAATGTTTAGTATAGAGCTTTGAAAAAATTCGCATTGTGAGATAGGCAAGAAGTAAGGCATGTAGCAACATCAGCATGGCAAACGGCACTCCTTTAAAGGCAAGGAAGGGCAAAAATATTTTAAGTCAAGTGATAGCGATTGCTGTATGAGTCGTACGATTTTTTAATCAAGCACAGGCAACGCCGGGCCATGCTCCTAGTATTTAATATAAAAATGTTCTTGCTAAATTTCCACTTTCAATTTTTGTCATTGTTTAGAGAAATCCTAAATGGCTTTCTTGTCTTGCTTGGGGTGAAATGTTGATTTTTAATACGAAAATTAAGTTGTTATCTTTATGTAAAAGAAGCTCCAGAATCATAGAAACTTGAATCATCACATTTCTATTTATCAGAGCCAATTGCAGATGATCTTTAACAATTTCAAGGATCAAATCACTGTAAATTTTCCTCTTAATGTTTTTCTTTTTAACAAAGTTTCACATCCAGTAACCCCCTTGCGTCTTTTTTTTCTTTTTTAGCTTTTCAACTCATGCAAGGCGGGAGTGCCACTAGCACGCAAGGGGTTTACAGAGAGTGGGAGCAAGAGTAAAGAGGATGAAGAGAAGGACGGGGTATTAGTTCAAGGCATCTGGAGATGTCGATTGACATTGAATTTGAATCGTTAGAGATTTTAGCTCTCAGGGAATCAAGTAAGAAGAAGGGAGTTCCACAAGAGGAAAATGCGAGACATGAAGCTATTGGAGTAGAAGAGACAGCTACATTTAACCGTTTCGACAGTGGGACTGATATGGCAAACTAGTAGCACGCTTAAATTCATGCAGTTGGCGTACCAGTGAAAGGAACTCGTCGGAGCAGTCTTAGTGGCTTTCTTGTCTTGCTTGGGGTGAAATGTTGATTTTTTTCTAGATTTGTAGGGGAGTTATGATTGTAAACAATTATGAACCCCTTAAAATTTATATATGTTGTTCATGGTGACGGTCGTCTTTGAGTAGAGAATCCAGAGGTTAGCAGGGAATATTTCGAAGACAATAGGAAAGCTTAGTTCAGGTTAGCAGTGGATATCCCGGTAAAAGTAGCAGAGCGTAGTTCAGTAGTTCTTCCTTCTGTTTCTCTTCGCCTGACAAGCTGGTACTGGGCATTCGGATAGAGTAAACAAAATGGCCGCCTTTATACACGACGGATTGAATATTTTACGTTTTCTGATTGGTTAACCTTCTATTGGTGGACTATAAAGTGAGTCAAGTCATTTGGGCTAGCTCACTAGTACATATATATATATATACACAAAAAACTGCAACAATATATACAAAGATACTCTTAAAAATGTAAAACAGTAAGACGGGAAAACAAACAAAAAGAATATTATTTACAATCTGTATATTATTTATTACGTGATGTTGGAGCCACAAGAGAAAGTAATAGTGAGTAGAATTGTGAGTTTGGGGTCAAATGTAAATATGAATCGGAATCCGATATAAGGACAAGATAAAGAATAAGTAAAATGTATACAGTCTTTCTCGTATATATTTTTTTATGTCTAATGATTGTCCAGATTATTTAGTTGAAAAAATACAAGAAGTTTCTAGGTTTCCTCCTCATCATCTTTCTTTTTCTCCTGTCCTATAATTGGTGCTTCTATGATTTATATTAGCAGTATTGGTGTGTGTTGAAGCTTGGATAAGCATGGAATAATAATAATACAACACAAAATGTACGTAAACAAAATGTATTGAAACAAGGAAAATGTACACAATATTTAGAGTTAGTTTTGGTATATTCTTGGGAAGACTGTTCCTGTAGAATGGGTTGACTTCATCGCAGTCGGGCAGAGACACTGGATTGGATCTCTTCTTACTTCTTCCCTCGTCTTCCCGGTACCAACCCATATTTATATGGTCGGTACTCCACTATGTAAATTAGGTGGATCCTACCACAACAGTGTGATTAGGTATGAGGGATCGTCTACTGCTCTTTTCTTTCTTCTGCTACCTCTATCCTGCAATTGGTGCTTATATTAGTTATATTAATATCACTATTTGTGTAGGTATAAGGGATCTTCTTTTTTTTCTCTTTCCTCTTCTTCTCCTTCTTCTTCACCTCCTTCTTTTTCACCTCTTTCTTTACCTCCTTCTTTTTTTCTCTTACCCTTCTTTCTTTCTTTCTTTTTCTATCCTACAATTGGTGCTTATATTATTTATATTAATATCACAATTTGTGTGGTTAGATATGAGGGATCTTCTTCTTCTTCTTCCCCCTCCTCCTCCTCCTCGTCTTCTTTCTTTCTTATTTTCTTCCTTCTTCTACTTTAATCCTACAATTAGTGCTTATATTATTTATATTAATATTACAATTTGTAGGGTTAGGTATCAAGTATTTTCTTTTTCTTCTTCTTCTTCTTCTTCATCTCCCATTCTTCTTCTTCTGCTTCTTCTTCTTCTGATTCTTTCTTTCTTCTTCTTTCCCTCTCCTCCGCATTCTTCTTCTTCTTCTTCTTCTTCTTCTTTCCCTCTCCTCCGCATTCTTCTTCTTCTTCTTCTTCTTCTTCTTCTTCTTCTTCTTTCCCTCTCCTTCGCATTCTTCTTCTTCTTCTTCTTACTTTTCGGCAATAGTTTATTATTATTATTATTATTATTGATGTCAATCAATTCAAGAAAAATGTATATGTATTTAATTTGTTTATCATTACATATATTAGTTATGAAACCTTCTTTTTCTTCTTATTGAGTGAGAAATCAGCACACCAACAAAGTGACGCTGGGTTACAATTAACCGAAGCACAATATACCCGTTATGACACCCAGTAAGATAAGGGTATACCAGACATATCAGTCGTAGGTTTTGATAAAGCGGTGCAAAAACTTTGCAGGTAGGTTCCAATTAAAAATACTCTTTGCTAGTCACGCAGTTTGCTCAGACGGCCCTTAATTGAGGGTATTCCCCAATATTCAGATATGACTCCAAAGTCACCTTGGATGCCTCTTCCTTTAAACTTAACCCCCCACAACAAAAAAAAACCCAACCATCTTATTTAGTGACTTATTTTAACAGATTGATTTTGTTTATTTGTGGTTTATAAATCCTTTGAAAGTTAAGCCGAAACATATTTTAGATTGTAAGATTTTTTTTGCGAGTGAATATTGCAAATATTATAAATCCAGCCCCACCGCGATAAGTAAGAGTTTTTTAAAGGATTTTTTCTACAAATCTTCTTTGTTAAGTGTATTTAATTTTTTTGTCAAAACCAGACTGAGATTTTGGTAGGCACCCACCAGAAACACGTGTGATAATCTGAAAAGCACGGTCATGCAGAATGCCTTCCTACTGACAGAAAGAATTACAAAAAAAAAAAAAAATTATTTATCATTTCACCCCAAGTAAGGCAACAATGCTACTAAGCTGCAAAGTTTTACTGCGAGTGAAAGAAAACGGAAAGTTTTTAGGAGAAGAAACCGGAAAATCATTTCTAAATAGGAAACAAATGATGAACCTCTACTCCTGTTCAAAAACGGAGGAAAGAGTGTGAACAGGGCGATAGACGATCAACTCTTTGTTCGTTATATAAAATCGAAGCATATTTTGGATTGTAAGAATAATGGCTTTTTTGAGAGTGAATATTGCATTAACAGTTTCCTTTAAGATAACAATGATTTTTCCCGATACAAGTGATACTATTTAACCCATAGCTGAAGAGGAAGCGATGGATTCATATATTTACCATTTGCTTGTAAGTGAACTTGAATGTAACTCAAACCCGGCTCTCTGATTTCGCATTCCAAACTATCATCCATTAAACCAACCGCACTTTCTTATCTTCATGAAAATATAATTTTTAAGTCGTAGATGAAATAGGTATTGAAGGTTTTATTGAAATCCAAGAAGTCGCTGACTTTTGGAAAATATTTAAATTAATCATGCCAAACACGCCCAAATATACTCCTTAGCTATTTTTATAAGTAATTTATGATTATTTTCGTCTGTGGAAGAACGGCAAGATTATTTTCTACTGTGGAAGAACAGATTGATTGTTTTCTTTTATGGAAGGACGTTACGATTATTTTCTACTGGGGAAAGACAGCATCATTGTTTTCTTCTGTGTAAGTATGGCAAGATTATTTTCTACTGAGGAAGGACAGCATGATTGTTTTCTTCTGTGGACGGACGGCAAAATTATTTTCTAGAAAAACAACATGATCGTTTCCTTCTGTGGAAGGATTGCGCGATTATTTCCTCCTGTAGAAGGACAGTATGATTGTTTTATTCTGTGGAAGGACGACAAGATTATTTTCTACAGTAGAAGGACAGCATGATTGTTTTCTACTGTGGAAGGACGGCATGATTATTATCTACTGAGGAAGGACAGCATCATTGTTTTCTTCAGTGGCAGGACGTTAAGATTATTTTCTACGGTAGAAGGGCAGTATGATTGTTTTCTTCTGTGGAAGGATGGCAAAAGTATTTCTACTATAGAAGAACCTTAAGATTGTTTTCTTCAGTGGAAGGACAGAACAATTGTTTTTTTTCTATGAAAGGACGACAGCATGATTGTTTCCTTCTGTGGAAGTACAGTAAGATTATTTTCTACTGTAGAATGACAGAATGATTGTTTTTTTTTATGTGGAAGGACGACAAGATTATTTTCTTCTGTGGTAGAACAACAAAATTATTAAATTCTGTGGAAGAACAACATGATTATTATCGTCTGTGGAAGGACAGCATAATTATTTTCTGTAGAAGGACATCAAGATTATTTTTTTTATGTGGAAGGACGGCAAGTTTATTACAATATAATTAACATTTGTTTCGGATATTTTTTTTTTATCGGCAATAAAAATGCTTTACCACATTCCCATTTTAGAGATGCACTGTTTTTTATTACCCTATTTTTTTTTAACAAATGTTGAAATTCTCACGAGGATTGGGTTTTCGTAGTCTGTGACAAACAGCTGGAAAACAACATTCCTCTTTCCTCTGGCTCCTGTTCCCAAAATATGAAATAGTTCTAACCAATCTCTGTTCTTCTCCAAATTTCTATTCATAAGATGTCCTCTGTTTCCGTCAACACAAACTTAATTAGCATAATGTATTTACTCGCTTTCTCTGGTTATGACTTCGTTCCACTTTAAAAAAAAATATCTTTTCACCCCAAGCAAGGCGATAATGTCACTAGAACGCAGTGTGTCACAGGGAGTGAAAGAGAATGAAAAGACTTTAGTAGGGAGAATTGAGGAAATGACAATAAAGGAAGAGAGTTTAATAAGACAGAAGATAGTGATTGTCATTACATTGATTAATTTTGAAGATTGTGGTTATCAGGGAACAAAGAATTGGAAGTGAATTTGTTGTGGAGCAAATATGACTCCCCCGGTAACACAAATAAGCTAGGCAAGAAACGCTCGGTTTCCTCACAGTAAACTTGACCTTGTGTCGCGTATAGTCCGCAGTGGGGCGACCTATAAATACCAGTCCGTTGGAGTTTTCGGCTTGGATCGCGACTTGTCCCATTATTTACCTTCGGTCAGAGGGAAACCTAGACGAGGCCTACGGACAGTCACGCCTGGAGAGGTAGACAAACCCAACCCTGTTTATGCGGGGTCTACGGAGAATCTTAGCCTGAGCCTACGGGCTCGTATTCGTCTCACATAAAAATCGGCTTTGTGCCACATGCCTTGTGAGGAGGTAGGTAAATAGAGGAGAATTTCTAGTGAAGTCTCGGCGAGTATCCTAAGCCAGACATAATATTATAACTGCTAGAAGCGAGTTATAATAGAGTTCCACAGGTGGTAAATGAGAGAATAGAAACGGATATTGTAGAAATGGCGGTTGCATCTAGATAGTTCGACAGTAAAAAGGTGAAGCCTCGCTGACAATCTAGCAATGCGGTTAGTTTCTTGTAGTCGGGGTACCAGGGAAAAAGTCCATCAGAATAATTGCCATGAAAATATTTGTAGAAAAGACAGAGGGAAGCCACGTCACGTCGGTGAGAAAGTGGCTGAAGTCGAGATTCCTGGTCAGGATTAATAATATTGCAGAAGCATAGCGTAATGAATCCAAGCTAAAAAAAGAGAAGGAAATAAAAAGATAGAACGCTGAAGCGCCATTTTGTTTATTAAAATAGATAAGCAAATATGTAGAGAATAAGATTATGATGGCAATGTCTAATGACAAATAGGAAGGCAGACACGCACATTCAGCCGTGCCCAGCTCGCTGTGCTCGGAATAAACGATCCTACTGGTATTTAGAACAACAAAAAAAAAAAAAACATCTTAAAATTCCCTTCCCTCCCTGTCGTGCGACGATGGTCTAGTGGTAGTTTCGATCCCGGCTTGAAGCAATCAGACGTCCAGCCACATTGAGGAGCTGCGATACAGCGAAACAGTCTGTCTATGGATGACTATATATATATATATATATATATATATATATATATATATATATATATATATATATATATATGTTTTTAAGGTGTGTTACATTTATGGAATAAAGTGCTCAATATTAAAAAAGATAGAACGTATGTAAATATGAAAGTGAACATTGAAGTCAACACTTAGAGACGACAGATATACGACAGATAGATGCAATCATCAGGCCACATGTGTTGGTTTTTTCTTGATTACTTATATATATGGGTCTCAGAGGTGCATTGTGGGTAGTCTATTCTAACGGTTATTTTGTTGAGAGTGCTTTATTTATTTATTTGGATTAAATTATTTTGCTTGATTTTTTATTTTTTATACTTTTTGGTTTTCGATGTTTTAGTAACGTAGTAATTTTTTTTTAAAGATTAGTTTTGATCGTTTATTTAATTGTTTGTTTAGGGAAGGTAATTAAAACTATTTTTTCGTCCAATTTTTGGATTGATTGTTGGCACTGTGGCAAGAACACACTGTTTCAGACATCTAAGAACGGATAAGTCTTTTTAATTTTCAAACAGACCTCCGATATATATATATATATATATATATATATATATATATATATATATATATATATATATATATATATGCTTTTAGCTTATAATATAATAATATAATATAATAATTTTATATATTATGCTTTTAGCTTATTTTAAGCTTTTATTCCTATTTTATATATATATATATATATATATATATATATATATATATGACAAAGTGGAAGAATTTTACTTGTGATGCGTTTCGTTGTTCACCAATACATCGGACTAAATTTTGTTATGTTGGGAGGACTACACATGCGCAAAACAGAGGGGTGTTGGGAATTTTAGAATTTATTTTTTCATCTAACCAAATTCATTTATAGTCATTGTCTTTTTCTTTCCATCCATTTTCTAAGTAAGTATTCCACACTGGGATACTAGAAGATCAGGAATGGTGAAATACGGTAAGATCCAGCATCGTTCTGTATAACCACATAACTGTTTCGTTGTCTTTTTTTGTTTGTTATGTTTTTAATCATTTCACTCCAAACAAGGCAACAAAGCCACTAACACGCAGGGGTTGCTGAATACAAAAGAATATACGACAAACATTATTAAGGATTGAGAACAATAAATGAACAAAATTTAAAAAGAAAAAAGATAACAATTGGTATTACATTTGCATGTTTGAAAGTCAAATTTGACTGCAAAGCAAGAAGCTGGAAGAGAGTTACATAAGCGAGAAGTGGGAGAGAAGAAAGTTTTATAAAACTTACGGCTACCTCCCACCGTTTCAACTGTAAAATGATGATATCTTGCCGTTAA